CTCCACTTTCCAGCCTCCAAAATTGTGTGGCAGTTTTCTCCTCTTGTCATTATCCTTGTGAGATCTGAACTTAAACAACAACAAAAAAACCTCTTCCACTCTCGCTGTAGTGTTGTTTCTTTCAGAAGGGACTGCAAGGATAGATGCGTGTGTTCCTTCTGTTGTGATTGCCCAGGAGGCTGTGGACTTTTCAAAGCTCTGCAGGTGATTCGGACACACACCCAGTGCTGAGAGCCATGGTGTAGGTCCTCCCTTCCAACTCCGCACTCGTGGTGGTAGGGCTCCTCGGAGGATGCCCCCTCCCTCCTGTCCATTTTCCTTTAATCCTCTGAGCATCTCTGAGTGGTGTCGAGGTATCGGTGGAGCTCTCTGTTACACACTGAGTCGCTGACGAACACAGTGGTGCTGCCTGCAGGTGAGGGAGAAGACCTCCAGAAATGGAGTCTAACGCTGTTGGACGGAGCGGCCCCACTCTGAGGGCAGGTGGTCTCTGCCGCTTCTTTACTCTTCTCCCCACGTCGCCATTCTTCCCATGGCTCCATTTGAACACCTGTTGTTTTGAGCTTTCATCCCTCCAAGCCCTGCTCCTGAGAAGCATTAGCCTTCCCTGGGGTATTTGTCCCTAAACCTTTCTTCTCATTCCGGAAGGCTGGGACCCCCAGTCCAGGGCCGCCAGGGTACGGATGGCCCTCCCCAGCCCTGCAGCAGTCCGCTCACCAGTCTCTAACACCCGATGACCCAGAGATTAAAACAAACACCCAGGGATCTGTCCCAGCTGACAGGTGTGTGCTAGTACCAGGAAGGGTCTGCGTGCGGTCCCAGGGGAGCAAACCATAGGGTCACCTCCAGGGACCTTTCCCTTCTGGGCTGTGCTGCTCTGGACGGCCAGCCCCAGGCTGCCTGGGCAGCAGCCGGTGAACAGGGCCCCAGCACCAGGCATTCAGTTGAGCAGCTGAATGTGAGAAGCTCTTGGAGGCACCTGCACCCTGGGATAGAGTTTCTGCAGACCTCGTATCACAGCAACGCTGGAGCCCTGCTGCTGACCACGGGCACAGTCATCCGGGCTGGGGTCCACTCCCCAGTGGTGAACAGAAAGAGTGATCACGGCCGACCTCACCAGCCCCTGCTCAGGAAGAACGGAACGTAACAGCTGCCCAGAAAACCTGTTTCTGAGTGTTTTTCTTTAGCACATCCCCCTGCAATTAGCAGATGCTGTGTCTTGCTGGATTCAGACCAGATGCAGGGGCCAAGGAGACTGCAGGAGCCGGCGCAGGAATCCCCAGGGGGGAGGTCCTCTGGCTTTGCAGTCGGCCAGCTAGAGGAAGAAAGAAGCAGAGGAACTTTGCTCCCATCCAGAGCCTGGCATCTGGTGGCCTCGCTCAGCTGGGTCAGCAGTTTTAGCAGTGCAACTCATTCTCCAGATAAAATCCTATACTTCAGCCAAACGTGTTCCACCAGTACTGGCAGAGCTGCCCCCGTGCACCTGCCCTGGGTGCCTGCCACAGGGGTCCAAGGCAGCTCGCAGAGCGGGGCTCGCAGGTCTCGGGGGAGACCACTGGGCGGCACAGCAGGCCCAGGGCAGCCAGAACTGCCATGTCCCAGACTCAGAGCGTGAAAACCTGGTAGGGGAGCCTCGCAGGTCACCTGCTCATCCTCCAGCTGAGGACACAGAGCCCGAGGAGGAGGGGGTGTGCCCCGGGTCACGTGCTGAGTTGAAGGCCAGAGTGTCTGAGAGCCTGCTGGTACTTTAAATACAGGCTGTTAACACTGGTATCCAGGTTTGAAGCTTTTGTGAAATGAGAAGGAATAGACCAGAGGCAGCACAAGGATCCCCTACAGGAGAAAACGCGGAAGAACTAAAATGACCCGACAGACCTCAGAAAGTGCAACAACTCTGGGGCCATGTGCCCAGGGACAGCCTGAGGGCTTCCCTACAGCGGCCTCGGGGTGCTCGGTCCAGACCCCAAATCCTCAAGGAAAGGCAAAGTTCACCGTGTGTCACAAATGTTAGGTGGATTCAAGGTTCATTAGGACAGAGGGAGGGCACACTTGGAGGGGAAGGAAGTGGGACTGGCCACCGTGAGGGGTTAGGGTTTCTCTCCAGAAGGCGTCTTTTGTGGTGTGGTCTGTGCTGCTCTGCAGGCTCTCCGATTCATCCGCCTTGGTGTTCCTGAAACGTTCCTGCTGCATTTTATCCAAGGCCACATAAAGTCCACACCAGAAGGATGTGTCTAGATAAACAGTACCTTTGGTTGCAAAGGTTTCCATTTTTTTCTTTTCTCCTGGATTTATTCACATTCTGGCTGAGGGAGGGGTGTGTGTGTGTGTGTGTGTGTGTGTGTGTGTGTGTGTGTGTGTGTGTTTCTTGGGACAAAGGCTCAGTCTGCTACAAGTCTGGAGAACTCTGGTCTGAGCCCCAGAGCCATGGGCAGCACCCTCACTTCTCAGCCTTAGTTTTGTCAGTTTTCTCACCCAGGATATGAAGGGGTTGGGCTTAGCCGGTCTCCTGCATCCTTTCCAGCCCCAAATCGGTTTTGGTGAGACCTTGATTCAGAAAAGCCAGAGCTTTTTAGTAAGAGGCTGTGTTTTCTTTTGAGCTGGAGTTGCTTGTGCTGCCTTCCCTCTCCTCACGTGGGGTTCCTGAGCCTTGCTGCCCCCCGATATGCCAGTTGCATGAGGGTTTCTTGAGCAGAGGCTCTGTGAGACCAGGCACGCTTGGAGCTCTGCGGGCTGTGAAAATGGAAAAGCGTGACGGATTCCGAGTCTGCCCAGCCCCTAGGGGAGTGGGGTATGGGGGGCACACTGGGGAAGGCCTGGTGGGATGAGCCTGGATGGGGCCCCTTTGGGCTGGGAGATGGGGCAGGGGGTCCTTCAGGAGGCCAGCGAAGCAGGCAGTTTGTGAGCAGGGAGGGTTTTCGCAGCAGTCTTGCAAAGGGGAATCCAGAGGTGGGGTGCAAAGTCCTGTTTGCTTAGAGCCAAAGCCCAGCGCGGTTGGGCCTGGCCAACCGTGAGGCCAGAAAGGGGGTGCTGCTGGGAGAGGGTGCAGGGCTGTGGGGGGGTGGGGGTTACCCTGCAGGTAGCAGGGACCGTGGCCAACAGTGCAAGACAGTTAGATGCCCAGTGCAGACTATCCTGCAGCCCCAGGTAGGATGGAGACCAGTTCGGAGGCCCCTGAAGCAACTGAGGCCACACACCACAGGGGCCAAGCTTGCAGTCTCACGAAATTGGGTAGAAAACCAATGTTAGTGAAAATAGCTGAGGGAGGGCTGGACAACTTCTGGGTTGCACACTTCTGCCTGCCTCAGCTGCCACCAGCGGAGGGCAGGTGACCGGTGACCAGAGCCATCAGCTGTATCTCTCCATTGTCTGTGATTACCAGAGTCATTTATCCTATGAGTGTGTGGTCTTTTTTTTTTTTTATTGGAGTATAGTTGATTTACAAATGCTGTGTTAGTTTCTTCTGTACAGCAAAGTGAATCAGTTATACATATACATATATCCACTCTTTTTTAGATTCTGTTCCCATACAGGCCATTAGAGAGCACTGAGTAGAGTTCCCTGGGCTATACAGTAGGTTCTTATTAGTTATCTATTTTATATATAGTAGTGTGTATATGTCAATCCCAATCTCCCAATTTATCTCTCCCCCCCATCCCCTGGTAACCACAGGTTTGTTTTCTACATCTGTGACTCTATTTCTGTTTTGTAATTAAGTTCATGTGCATCCTTTTTTTAGATTCCACATATAAGCGATATCATATGATATTTGTCTTTCTGTGTCTGACATACTTCACTCAGTATGACAATCTCTAGTACATACTTCACTCAGTATGACAATCACTCAGTACAGCAACAATCTCATGTTGCTGCAAATGACATTATTTTGTTCTTTTTTATGGCCGAGTAACATTCCATTGTATATATGCACCACATCTTTATCCATTCCTCTGTCAATGGACATTTAGGTTGCTTCCCATGTCCTGGCTATTATAAATAGTGCTGCAGTGAACACCGGGGTGCATGCATCCTTTCAAATTATGGTTTTCTCCAGATATGCCTAGGAGTGGGATTGCTGGGTCATATGGTAGTTCTGCTTTTAGTTTTCTGAGGAAACTCCATACTGTTCTCCATAGTGGCTGCACCAATTTACATTCCCACCAACAGTGCAAGAGGCTTCCCTTTTCTCCACACCCTCTCCAGCATTTATTGTTTGTAGACTTTTTGATGATGGCCATTCTGACCGGTGTGAGGTGATACCTCATTGTCGTTTTGATTTGCATTTCTCTAATAATTAGTGATTTTGAGCATCTTTTCATGTGCTTTTTGGCCATCTGTATGTGTGGTCTTCAGAGTGTGTGGTCTTACCACAACTAACTTAGTGACTGTAGTCCGAATTCTTGGGGGAATATACGAGACGAGAAGCTTGGAGTCAGAGTTAACAAGTACTGTATGTAACTCGAAAACAAGCTTGTCTTGATTCCAGGAAACACGGAACCTGCCACATTTCCAGCTCACGTTATCTAAACTCAGCTGTATTTTTGCTGCATCTGGCAGCTAAGATGAATCCCTTAACCTGAGAACGGTCACTCTGGGCCCCCAGGCCGGTGTGCACAGCAGCAGAACCTTTGGAGTCCCAGTTTGGGAACAGTCCATCACGTGAAAACTTCACCCCTTAACTTCAACATCATGTCTAGTCAAGATCTCAGTTTATAAATTGTGGAGAGTCTCTCAGTTAATGGGAGAGAGTAATGGTATATCCTGTAACACTGGTGTTACTTGTTCATAGTAATGAGTAACTGAGTGCTTATCTTTTGAGAACATGGGGTGTTTATAGTCACGAACAGCCCCTTTGATTTGTAAATATCAAAGCAGGTTGGTGGCTGTGATCTGGGTGCTTCCAGAAAGGGGGTGTGGCTCCCTCCCCATCACCCGCACTGCAGCTTATCTTTAAAGGACACTTAAAAATAAGCAGGAATAGGCACACACCCACACACACTCACACACTTGCACACGTGTACACACACACACACACACACACACACATACACATACTGTCTACAGACTTTGGAAGCACACCAAGATTATACATAATTTTTTTAGCATTTCCAAATGATGTTAAATCTTAAATTCCTTATTTATTCCATTTTACAAATTGCATCCTTCTTTCTTTTTTTCATTTTTATGAAGTTTTGAATATGAATAAACCAAAATTCTAGGCTGCCTGCTTCTTTTTCTCATTGAGATTTTTATTGTGAAAACTGCAGATTCACTTGCATTTGTGGGAAATAATAGAAACCCTGTGTACCTTTTACCCAGTCTCCCCCAGTGATGACATCTTGCAAAACAATAGTACATTGTCACAACCAAGCCTGTCTACTTTTTGTTTTTTAAAAAATTGTGGTAGGGGCTTCCCTGGTGGCGCAGTGGTTAAGAATCCACCTGCCAACGCAGGGGACACGGGTTCAAGCCCTGGTCCGGGAAGATCCCACATGCCGTGGAGCAACTAAGCCCGTGTACCACAACTACTGAGCCTGCGCTCTAGAGCCTGCGAGCCACAACTACTGAGCCCGCATGCCACAACTACTGAGCCCACATGCCACAACTACTGAGCCCACGCACCTAGAGCCCGTGCTCCGCAATAAGAGAAGCCACCGCAGTGAGAAGCCTGCACACCACAACAAAGAGTAGTCCCCGCTTGCGGCAACTAGAGAAAGTCCAGCACAGCAACGAAGACCCAACGCAGCCAAAAATAAATAAGTAAATAAATTTATTTAAAAGAAAAAAAAATTGTGGTAAAATACGCACACATAAAATTTACCATCAGTGGCACTCAGTGCATTCACAGCGTTGTGAACCTGTGAACCTTTTATCACTGTGTGATTGCAGAGCAGTTTCATCATCCCAGAAGGAAGCCCTGCACCCAGTAGCGTCCCTCTCCGTTCCTCCCTCCCCGCAACCCCTGGCAACCACTAATCTGCCTTCTCTCTGTATGGATTTTTCTCTCCTGGATGTTTCATATAAGTGGAGTCATACAATATGTGGTCTTTTGTGATTGGCTTCGTTCACTGAGCATCATTTTTTTAAAAACTATTTATTTATTTATTGGCTGCGTCGGGTCTTAGTTGCAGCACGTGGGATCTTTCGTTGGCTCTCTAGTTGAGAGGCGTGGGCTTAGTTGCCTCACGGCATGTGGGATCTTAGTTCCCCAACCGGGCATTGAACCGGCGTCCCCTGTATTGCAAGACATTCTTAACCACTAGACCACCAGGGAAGCCCTGAGCATCATGTTTTTGAGGTTCATCCATGTTGTATCAGTATCAGTACTTCATTCCTTTTTTTTTTTCTTTTTTGCGGTACGCGGGCCTCTCAGTGCTGTGGCCTCTCCCATTGCGGAGCACAGGCTCCGGACGCGCAGGCTCAGCGGCCATGGCTCACGGACCCAGCCGCTCCGCGGCATGTGGGACCTTCCCGGACCGGGGCACGAACCCATGTCCCCTGCATCGGCAGGCGGACTCTCAACCACTGCGCCACCAGGAAGCCCTCTTCATTCCTTTTTATTGCTGAATGCTATTCCATTGTATGGATAAGACCACATTTTGTTTACCCACTCATCAGTTGGTGGACATGTGGATTGTTTCCACTTTTTGGCTATTGTTAAGAGTGTTGTCATGAACATTCGTGTAGCTTCTGTTTGGACATCTGTTCCAATTCCTTAGGTATATATCTAGGAGTGGAATTTCTGGGTCGTATGGTAATTCTATGTTTAACCTTGGAGGAACTGCCGAACTGTTTTCCACAACAGCTGCACCATTTGACGTCCCCAGCAGCATATGTGAGAATTCCTGTTTCTCCATATCCTTACCAATACTTGTTTCCCATTTTCTTTTTTTAGCCATCCTAGTGGGTGTGAAATGATGCCTCACTGTGGTTTTCATTTATATTTCCCTAATGACTAATGACATTGAACATCTTTCCATATGTTTGTTGGCCATGTGTACGTCTTCAGAGAAATGTCCATTCAAGTCCTTTGACCTTTTTAAAGTTCAGTTGTCTTTTTGTTATTGGATTTTATTTTATTTTTGTTGTTGTTTTTGTTGGATTTTTAAAGAGTTTTTAATTCTGGATACTAGACCTTTATCAGATATATGATTTGGAGATATTCTCTCCTATTCTATGGGTTTTTTCACTTTCTTTATGGTGTCCTTTGATGTACAAAAGTTTTTAATTTTGATGAGGTCCAATTTATCTTTTTTGTTATTGGTGCCATATCTAAGAAACCATTGCCAGATTTAGCTCTTACATTTATTTATTATTTATTTATTTATTTATTGGCTGTGTTTTTGTTTTTCGTTGCTGCGCGTGAGCTTTCTCTAGTTGTGGCGAGCGGGAGCTATTCTTCGTTGCGGTGCGTGGACTTCTCATTGTGGTGGCTTCTCTTGTTGCAGAGCATGGACTCTAGGTACTTGGGCTTCAGTAGTTGTGGCATGTGGGCTCAGTAGTTGTGCCTTGTGGTCTCTAGAGTGCAGGCTCGGTAGTCGTGGCACACAGGCTTAGTTGCTCTGCGGCATGTCGATCTTCCCGGACCAGGGCTTGAACCCGTGTCCCCTGCGTTGGCAGGCAGATTCTTAACCACTGTGCCACCAGGGAAGCCCTTACATTTATTTTTGATCCATTTCAGGTTAATTTTATATACCATGTGAGTTAAGGGTCCAGCCTCATTCCCTTATGTGTGTGCTGTCCAGTTTTCCTAGCACCATTTGTTGAAGACTACTCTTTTCTCATTGAATGATCTTGGCAACCTTGTCAAAAATTACTTGGCTGTATAGATTTATTTCTGAACTCTCAGTTCTATCCCACTGATTTATATGTCTATCCTTATGTCAGCATCACACTGTTTGGTTACTGTAGCTTTATAACAGTTCTGAAATCAGGCAGTGTGAGTCTTCCAACTGTGTTTTTTATTTCAGGATTGTTTTGGCTGTTCGGGGTCCCTTGTAATTCCATACGAATTTTAGGATCAGCTCTTCCATTTCTGTAAGAATACCAGCTGGGATTTTGGTAGGGATTTCATTGAAATCTGTAGATCGCTTTGGGTAGTATTGCCTTGTCTACTTCACAGTGTAGAGCACTGTCTTACAGAAGGGAGCGCACAGAAGGAGGGCTTGTTTAGTCACTTCTGGGCTCCAGCCCCGAAGTCTGATGTGGAAGGTCTGGCCCCAAGCCCAGGAATGTGCCAGTTTAACAAGGTCCCCCACGAGTCCCAGGGACTCCAAGGTTTGAGAACCACTCTGGCCTTACCCACCTTCCCTAGGGAGGGGTCTGGGGTTCAGCAAGAGCGAGTTTCCCAGTTTGAAAATGGCCAGTTCGTGGGCAGGAGCAGTCTTCACAGCTACTTCCTGTTCAGCCCCCTCTTGGCATTTTGGCCCTGCTTGACCTCTGGGAGTAAGGTCATTGGAATGTGTTCCAGTCGACTTTCGTGAAGCAGCATTTCTTGGGCCGAGTTCGGGGTGGCAGAGGGTGGGTGACATTTATGGAATCTCCCTGTCTTTTCCATACTGCCTCTTCTCCCGGAGGCCAGGGTGGTGTGCCTGTCTGACCTGCACTGAGTCCTCGACTCGGCTGGGAGGTCCTCTTGTTCATTGCGTCTTGTTTCTTGCCATCAGACCTCGGATACATTTCCAAACCTCTCTCTGTCTGAGCACCTCTGATCTCAGAGCCCTTGCTGGGATCTGCTGAGGAGACAGACCTTGCAGGTGGCGCCCGGCCCTGCCCTGCCCGCTCCAGCCTCGGCCCTTCAGGCCGCGCTCCCTCCTGTGCATACGCTCTTGCCCCCCGGCACACGCCTCCCTGCCCTTCTCTCCTGGTTCTTTCCTGATCATCCTTCAGTCTCACCTCGCCGACAGCTCCTAGGGCAGCTCTGCCTGACCGCCTGTCTGACCCCAAGTACGTGCTCAGAGCACCACGTTCTTCACCGCTGTAGCTCCCCTTACCTGTGGCAGCCTTACATGTCCTCGTGTGACTGTCTGATTAACGACGTGTCTCTCACCAGACTTGAAAATCCAGGAGTCAAGAAGACTGATCCCCAGCACCCAGCACCATGCCCGGCACGGGGCAGGCGCTCAGCCTAACGCCTGCTGGGTGGTTGGGGCTGGTGGGAGGGCGGTGGAGGCGCGGATGGGCGGGTGCGGTGATGGGTGGGCGGGGTGGGCAGTGACAGGTAGATGGATGATGGCTGAGTGGCGGGCTGGCTGGCTGGCTGGCTGGCGGGGAAGCACCAGTCAGTGAGTTTCCAGAACCTCCTTCCTCTCCACTTTATCAGACAAACACTCCTTGGGACCTGTTGTGTGACTGTCCTTCAGGACACACAGGTGACTGAGACACCTGGAAAAGACACAGAACATCGCCAGGGCTGGGACCCAGTGTCCCAGAGGATGGTGGCAGCGTGTGGGGCTGGCGGGGGCGCCTGACAACTCTTCTGTGCCGCCTCTCCCCTCCCGGGACAAGACCTTCTCTGAGGAAGAAGTCCTCTGCTCCTCTCCCTGCCTCCCACCCCCCAGCGACTCCAGGACTTCACCGGCCCCTCCTCCCCTCCTGGAACCTTAACAGCCCGCCTCCCTGCATCCATCCCTCTCCCACGAGCTGACTTGTTCAGGTAGCGCCCCAGCAGCCTTGTTCTGCCCTGTGGCCTCTTCTCCTCTTAACCCTTAGCAGTCTGGTTCAACTCCACCGCCCCTCTGCAGACTTCCAGGGGCTGCTAATGGGCTCATTTTGTGTTCCTCCTGACCTCTGAGTAACACCTGCTACCACTGCCCAGCCCTTCCCGCCGCTTCTTTATTATCCTGTTAGTTAAAGTGTTTTCAAAGAGCCCCGCCCCCACCTGCCCACCACCACTGGACGCCAGAGTGACCAGTGGGGCATCTCAAATGCCGAGGCCTGGGCCCTCCGGGTGGTTGGCGTGAGCAGCCCGTGCTGAGAATCAGAGTGGGGACAGCGTCTCCTGGGTCCTGCCCAGCGCCCCCAGCCGAGCTGTCTCTCACCTGGATTATTCCACCGGCTTCCAGCACGGGACTCCGCTCCTTCCAGCTTCCCTGAGGGCGGTCCTCGCAGCAGCGGTGTCCGCTCACATCACTTCTCTCTCCACACCTCCCTTAGCACGTCTGCTGCCTTCTCGCCTCCGCCTCCTCACTCACCGGCCTCCAGGCTGGCGTGCCCCTGCTGGGGCGGCAGGGTCAAGGACCCCCACCCCCACCCCATTGCCGTGGTGTTCCCCTGGCCCCTCTCTCCCCGTCACGTGACGCAGCCCTGGTGTGTTTGCCTGGCCCACCCCCGGTGAAATGGAGGCTCTGTGAGGACAGAGGCGCGTGGTTTGTCTGCGGGGAGGTTTCCCCGGCACCCAGCATCTGAGGTGCTCGGCGTTTGCTGAGCAAATGACCGCGTGGCTTCACGGGGAGGTGTGTGTCCAGGAAGCAGCCGACCCGAGAGCTGCGGGGGTGGCATGGTGTCCCGCGGAACCCAGCCTGGGAAATGCTGCAGGATGACACTCCTCGTAGGATGTGTCCATACGGGTGCCTTGCTCATCCTCGTAATGTGCAGTCAGCAACGTCCCTGCTTGTATTCCAGCTGCTTCTGCTCTCCTGTCCTTTGAGAACTGGCTTATGTCCTTGCCCCTCCTGCTGCCTCCCCTGGGAGTGAGGTTCAAGTCCCGTCCTGACATCATCGAGTTTGGGGGTGGGGGGCAGCGGCTGCCCTCATGCCCTGAAAGCCCGCCGAGCTGTACACTTAGGGTTTGTGTTGTTTTTTAAAGGTGTGTGACCCTTCAGTAAAAAGCTATCTTTTTATTGGATGAGAATAAGTGAAGGGCTGGGCTTCCCTCAGAGGGAAGCAGGGAGCCTCGTGTCCATGCCCCCCTCAGCCCGGGTAGGTGTAGCTCCCCCGGCCAGGAGCTGTGTGGGGTTGTACAGGGTGGGTTGCAGCCTGCCCTGTGCACGAGGGCGTGTGGGGGGAGGGCAGGCCGGCCGAGGCCCCGAGGAGGCAGGGGCGTCACGCCGAGGAGTTCCCGCTGTACTCTGGGCAGTCGGGAGACGTGGCAGCGAGGCAGGCGGGCAGGCAGGAGGGGTCCCACAGTGTCTGGGCACCCTGGTGACTGGCGGGTGGCAGGCAGGACCGTGCCCAAACCGGGCAGTGGGGCCGGGGGACCGAGGGGGTCCAGGTTCAGAGCTGTGCAGGAGATGACGGGCGCCCAAGGAGGGCGAGGAGAGAGAAGGGGCGCCGACCCGCCCTGGCCGCCCAGTGGCGGTTCTCCTCCCGGCCCTCCTCCTCCTCCGAGGGCTTCTCCCCGCCCGCCGGCTCTTCCCTGCCTCCGCATCACAGTGTCTTCTCTGTCTTCCCACTGCACCACTGCCCGGAAACTTCGTGGCTTCGAGCAGCGCTTTACTACTCGTAGCTCTCAGGACTCTGGGGCTGGGATGCGGGCGGAGTCCAGCATGGACGGCTCCTCCCTGCTTCACCACGGCCGGGCCTTTGGGCCCCGCACACCTCTCTCCCCTCCGCGGGGCCTCCGCACCGCAGACTTCTCCATGCCGGCTGAGTTCTGAGAGGAGAAGCTGACGCTGCCTGCTCCTCGAGACCAGGCTCGGCCCTGCCAGCGGGATGCTTCCGCCATGTTGTTTTGGTCAAAGTGAGAGGGCGGATTCCAGGGGAGGGGCACAGACCCCCGTCTCCGTCTCCGTAGAGCGGAAGTCACAGCCGCACCAGCCATGGGAAAGCAGAGAGCGCTTTCAGAACCTGTGTTCTTGCCTGGAAAGCATTTAGGATGCTCCTCAGCTGAGAGCGCCCATGAGTTCTGATCGCATCTCCCACAGGCACACAGGGCGTGTCAGCCGCGTCTGTGCCCAGCGTGGTGTGCCGATCGATCGCAGGGCCGTCCATCCGCTCCCCGCAGCCCCTCATCCTCTCTGGAGCGGTGGGGTGGGGGGGGATGCTGGGCCTAGGGCACCCCTCCCCGCACGCGAGGCCGAGCGGGCTCACTGGCCGCCTTGCCTGCCGGTTCCTGTTTCCTGCGAAGCTCGTGGCAGCTGTGCACAGTCGGCCTGGCTCTCGGCCTGGCCCTGTCTGTATGCCAAGCAGAGCAGAAGAGGGGGGCTCGGGGGCGTGAGTGGGGAGACCTATGTCCACAGACACCCACCTCGACCCCTCCCCAGGCTGCCCAGCCACCCTTGATCGAGCTCCCGGGCCGGTCCACACACCTTCTCCCCGCGGACCCTCTGTCCCAACACTCTCAATGGCAACTGCGTTTTTTGGTGTCTTTTACCTTCATAACTTATAAAATTTAACTTTTCATTTTGAAAAACTTCAGACCAACGGAAAACTTGCAGATTTCAGTAACTCCCATAGCCTCAGGTCCACCCAGAGTCACCCACTGCCAACACTGGGCCACGTTTGCCTTCTCTCCGAGCATGAAGCTGTGAACAGGGGCTTGTGAGGACCCTCAGGCCAGGCCCCCGGCCACCTCCCCTTCCCCTGTGGCACCTGCCGTCTGTCGCTGCCCGTTAACGCAGCCCGCCCCTCCTGGCCCGGCATCCCGCAGGTCTCCCCATGTCCTTTCCTTCTCCTGTCACCTGGCCTATCTTTGTTCCCCAGGACATGCAGCACTGAAGAGTTGGGGCTCCCTGCTTGGTGGGAGGTCCCTCAGTCTGGGTCTTCGGGGCGTTTCTATCCCTGTGAGGCTGTGCTCTGGGGACAGGCCTGGTCCCCCCACCCCTTTGCCCGCCACTCCTGCCGTGCCGGGCTGCCCTGGGCTGTGCGGGAACTGCTCTCCCCAATCATGTGCGCCCACCTCCTTCCCTGAGGAAAGGCCCTTCCTGCTTCCAGCCCGCCGGGGTCGCCCTGGTCAGCGTCCACTCCAGCCCCAGCGACCAGATGCTGTGGGCCCTGGACAGCAGGTGGAACGTGCACGTCCGAGTTGGGATCACCGAGGAGATGCCGGTCGGGACCGACTGGGAGCACGTGCCAGGTAGAGGCGCTGGGTGGGCGGTGGCCACTGCGGCCACACTGGGGCCTGGTTTGTTTCTGAGGCTCTGCTGAGGCAGGTGACAGCAAGCGTCTACCTCAGTGTTCCCCAGCGTGGGCACCCCACAAGCAGAGCGCCAGCCCCGTGTCCTTGGGGTTCCTTGTCGGATGACCGTTTCCGGACCGCCTGGGCTCTGGTCCTCGGGTCTTGGGCTCTTGCAGCCTTGCCGGCCCTGCAGACAGGGCGTCCTTTCCCTGGGCTCCCACTCGGTGCCCAGCCAGGGGGAGAGCAGGCTTGCGGGGAGGGTCGGTCCGTCCCTTCCGCGGCCGGGGCTGAGGGCAGACAGACGCTCCGTTTGCCTGCAGGGTTGCAAGCCTGCCAGCTGGCCCTGAGCGCCAGGACCGTGTGGGCCCGCTGCCCCAACGGGGATCTCGCCCGACGGTACGGCGTCACCGACAGAAACCCTGCCGGAGACTACTGGAAGAAGATTCCCGGGCACGTGACGTGTTTCACAGGCAGGTGCCAGGGCGCTGGCGCTCCCGTGGATGGCGTCGGTGGGGCTCTGGCCGTGGGGTGGGGCTCTGGCCAGGGGCTGGGGCGGTGCTGCTCCCACAGGGCTGGTTCACCCACACGGGAGCCCATCCCAGGGTCACACCTGCCGGGGGCCACGCAGCACCCGGACTCTGCCAGGGTCTCCTGGGAAGAGGACGGGGCGCCGGGCCGCTCCCTTGAAGGCCAGGGAAGCCGAGGTGCCGGTCGGGGCGTGCCCGGGGCCCCACCGCTAGGCAGCGCGCGTGCAGACGTGGAGCCGGGCTGGGGAGTAACGGGCGTGCGGCTGGCTCTTGTCCCTGCAGTGACCTTGTCAGACGAGCTGTGGGCAGTGGGCCCCGCCGGCTCCCTCCTGCAGCGGCTGACTAGGACTTTCAGCCACTCCCACGGCACCCCGAGCAGCCAGGCCACCGCCCCCCACCCCGAGGACCTGGACGACGAGTGGGAGGTCATCTGAAGGAGCTCTCGGCAGGGGGGCCACCGAGACCCGTGTGGCGGACACGGGCGGTTTTGAGTCGCTTGCCCTTGGACGTGCCTCGCCCGCTCTTGTCGGGCACGTCTAGCCAGGTGGGACGCTCCGCTCTTGCTTTCCTCCGTATTTGTTTCCGTCTCACTCCAGAACCCACAGCCTTGGCCGAGAGGTGCGGAGCCGTTGCTGCAGCAGCAGGGCCTCTGACTCGCGCTGAGGCCGTCCCCAGGTGGGACGGCGGCTGCTCCAGTTGCATGCACTGTGGTACCGCCGTCTGCTGTGGTCACCTTCCCCTCGCTGACTGCTCCCGGGCCCGTGGAGCCCAAGGTCAGTGCCGTCCATCCGCCGAATGTGTTCCTGGGATGGCTTCGTCTCCACCACAGGGTCCCCCCACCTCCTCTCTGAGACGCAGGCCCCAGCGCCCATTCCCTGCTGGCCACACCAGATGGGAAGCCAGCTGTGCCAGGACGAGGACACACGCATAGCGACATGCACACGCCACACACACCCTCCCCGCCCGCTCCCAGGGGGCCGGGCTTGCCTCCAGCAGAACAGGAAAGGCCAGTGGGTGACCCGGAATACGGAAGTGTGCGTGTGTATCCGAGGCAGGTGTGGTGGGGCGTGGGAACCTTAGCCATGTTAGTGACATAGGAATGTCATAGGGTGACACTCAGCCCTGCTGCTGGCGACGTCGTGAAAACCAGAAGCACCTTCAGAGGATGAATCTACTAATTCTTGCCTTTTTTGTTTGTTGTATTACAAACCTACATGAGATACCTCACTTGAAATCAGATCTTACAAATTTAGAAGAGAAATGTATTTTCTGAAACCGGGGGAAGGCCTTTGATTCCTTCCCCTGGTTTATCCTGAGCCTGCACTGTTCTCGGCTGCAGCTTCAGAGGATGGACACCGCCCTGCGTGTCCTCGATGTGTGGGGCAGCCACGGGACCTGCCTGCTGGCTGCGAGTGGCAGCCAGACATTGTCAGCGGGCATCTGGGTGGGTGCCCAGCGAGGTTGAAACTGGGGCCTGCTGTGGCCACGTCAGACTTCAGTCCATGGGCTCGGCCTGCAGTGCCTACCCTTGTCGCTGGCATCTGAGCTGTAGGACTCTGCAGCCCAGCCAGGCATCCGCCCTGAGCCCGCCACCCCTCCCTCTTGGAGGCAGCCCCACGGAAGGACTCCAGCCTGGCTGCTTTTTTTAGCCTGCCCTTGGCCCGGGGCCCAGTTACTCAATGCCTGTTTGCTACTAAGCAGGTGTGTCCGGGAGCCCCCAGGCCACAGGTGAAGAGCGATAAGATTTGTTCTCTGACAGGACCCAGCTAGCCATGAGGATGGAGGTTTTCCAGGTCTAAATGAGGACAAGATGCTGAAATCCCAGACCTTACTTACTACTTCACTTTTATAGAATGCGTTTTTTCAGAAGTCTGGTGACAGCAGAGGGAGCGCAGGCGGCTGAGGCTCCTCTTCTGCGTATGTTGTGCCTTTTGCCGGGCTCCTCAGATGGCAGAGCTCTCCTGAACCCATGGGACTTTAGTGCAATTAACCCAGTCTAGTTAGTTTGATACTTTTAAACTACTTGTAGCCTCAGTGCTTTGTACAGTTTTTTTTTTTTTCTTTTTTAAGTTGTGCTTTGAGACAGTGCAATAAACTAGACTTTTCCGAGCCTAGTCGAGTCTGATGTCTGAGTGGTGAGAAGGTGCCCTGAGTGGGCACTCAGGAAGGCTGTTCCCACTGGTGCTGCAAAGAATCTGCTGCTGGTGTTGCCAGCCCAGCCCCACGGCCAGGAGGGTGTGGGCAGACGTCATTTCGTGACCAGTTTGCCCGGGGGCTGTCCTGGGGGAGTGCCACTGCAGAGGTGGCCCTGGGGAGGACACTGTACCGTGAGGCAGAGCACAGGGCCGCTGTGGGCAGGCTCTGGGGGCTCGAGACCCTGGGCCTGAGTCTTCATCCAGGACACAAAACCAGACACCAGAAGTGCCCTAGTGGAAACCAGCACGTGGAAAAAAGATCACGTTCACGACAGCAGCGGGATGTGTCACGTGCCGGGAAACAGCCTGAACAAGAAATGTCAGACTCGGTCGAGAGCTGGCCAAGCTCTACTGAAGACTTCCAAGAGAGCCCGAATTGGGAAGGCAGTTGACATTCCTGATGGAAGACCACAGCCATTGTGCAAAGAAAGACACCAGTCCTTTCCAAAGGCATTTATGGCTTTCACTCAATTTGTCAAAATCCCCACTGGGATTTTCTTTGTTGGGGGTAGGCAGAGAAGAACCCATAAAATAATGTTCATACCCACAGACACCCCCCTTGACTGTGCCAGATATGCTGTGAGGGTCTCACGCGTGCAGCTTCACGTCCTCAGTAGGGCCCTGAGAGGTCAATACCATTAGCCCCAGTGAGACCCAGAGAGAAGTAACTTGCTAAGTCAGCACAAGGAGCGCTGGGATTGGAGCCCAGCTCGGTGGGACTCCAGACCTGCGCTGTCTGATGCCACCTCACTGTCTTGAGAAGAAGAAACCGATGAGGATTGCCAGGAGCGATGACAGGGGCCAGCAAACGAAGTGGGATGTGGATGGAAGGGCCAGTGATGTCAGGCAGCCCAGCGAGGTCCACGGGGAGTTAACAAGGTGAAGGCGGCACGCAGGTGAGAGGACGGGACAGTGACTTCACAGTTAACTGATGCGGCCCGCTACTTAACCATTCAGACAAACATTAAGTGGATTAAAGAGTCTTAAAACTAGGGGGCAAAAAACTATCTGATTTCTGGATGGCAAGCACTTTCTAAACTCAAAAGTAGTGGGAAAAGTCAGAGGAAAATATTGTATAGATTTGATTTCTTCAAAATATAAAGATGCCGTGAATTAAAAACCCCGCATAAAACTAGAAGGGGAAATAGTTGCAACAAGTCGGAGGAACACCGAAGACACACATATGGACAAAGGAGATGAAAGGGCACTGCTTAGTGCACACCCAGGGCAGGCGTGCACATGGAGCAAGCGGGGAGCCCCCGTTGGCACGGCCCTTCTGGGAAAGCCACTGGGTCCAGCAGCAGCCTTAAAACCCTCAAGTCCCGGAACTCCTACTTCTGGAAGCCTGTCCTCAAGAACAAATCCTAAGTCAGGGTTAAACATACGGCACAGCATCGTTTGTAATTGTGAAACACTAAAAACAACTGACATTCGGGAGCATTCCTCTCATGAAACAATATGCAGATGTTAGAAAGCACGTGTCTTCCCGGGGGATGTACGTTCTGAGCAGTCTGTCATGCAGTTTCATCATAGCAGCGTTAAGTCTCTTGGGCGTTGTAATGATCACGTGAGTTTGTAGGCGATCATACCTACAGGGAGAGGTAGATGATGCCAGTGGACACGGTGTACTCTAACTAACTTTTGGTGGGTTTGCAATCTTTTTCGTAATTCCAGGGCGCAGAGGAGGGGCAGAAAGACACTACCCAAGCAGCTGGTCATGGTGGTCCCCTGTAGTGTGCACCTTTTTGTATCTTTTGAATTTGAGCCATGTAAATGTGTTATTTATTCCAAAAAGAAATAAAGTTCACATTTTAAAGCCTCAGTTCTCTCTAACGTCAGCTCTATCGTATCAGCGCCAGCTGAATCAGATATCACAGAGTAAACACCAGAGGCTTCCCAAAAATCGTATTTACACAATGTTTTACAGTGAACGGAAATGCTTACTCTACAGTAAGTTTTTAAGTACTAGATTTGATCTGATGTCATGTGAAAAAGTATGCATAGAAAAAAAATTTGAACATATGTATATATGTGCATAGAGAAAAACAGAAGAAAATACACCAAATGCTAGTAGCAGTGGTTGTCTGGGTGGTGGGATGCCGCCAGGCAGGCGGGCAGCCTCTTTACCTGGGAGCTGCATGGAGGGGCCCCTGCCACATCCTGCCCTGGATTTCTCTGCACAGTCCGAGCGTTCTACCATGAGCATGCATTCTATCAGCAGAAATTCTTTATAAAAGTCACTGAAGATGTGGGAATTCCCTGGCGGTCCAGCGGTTAGGACTCCTCGCTTTCACTGCCTGGGCCCCGGATTCAGTCCCTGGTCGGGGAACTAAGATCCCGCAAGCCGCACGGTGTGGCTTAAAAAAAAAAAAATCACTGAGGGGCTTCCCTGGTGGTACAGTGGTTGGGAGTCCGCCTGCCGATGCAGGGGACGTGGGTTCGTGCCCCGGTCCGGGAGGATCCCACATGCCACGGAGCGGCTGGGCCCGTGAGCCATGGCCACTCAGCCTGCGCGTCCGGAGCCTGTGCTCCGCAGCGGGAGAGGCCACAGCAGTGAGAGGCCCGCGTACCGCAAAAAAAAAAAAAAATCACTGAGGATAGAAATCTCTTATCTTCAACCTCTGCCTTGGCTGGGATGGTTACACGCGTGTTGACATTGGTCATGACCCCTCAAACCACACGCTTAAAGTCTGTGCATTTATTATGTCAAGTATGCCTCAATGTTAAACTGTAGCAGGACAAAACCAGTCACCGTGGAGCAGGGCTGCTTCACATCCACACACTTCTGGAGCAGAAGCCTTCCCCAACCGTGCCTGTTTCCCCTCCATCCCGACTTCAGGAAGCACCCTTGTTCTGAACAAGATTTCAGGTAACTTAGGAAACTGCTCTCAATACAGTATTTTAAAGTTGAAGAAATTGACAGGAAAGGAAATCAGTGGGAATATCGAGGTAGTGGGGTAAGTTAGCACACAACACGGCCAAAGTGGGGGCAGAGCAGGGGCCTTGTGGCCACAGGCCGTCACAGGGCTGTGTGTCCCTTTTGGGCTCCAGGCACAGGGTCACAGTACCTTGGGGACGAATGGCCCAGCCTTCTCTGTCCTCCCCGACAGGTGTCTGGGGTGCAGGGATTCTGGCCCCCGAGCTCTCCGGAGTTGGAAGTTCACTGGGCCCCTGGGTGGGCATGGCAGGGGCAGTACTGGCAGGAGTGGGGCTTTCCTTAGACAAGGTTCATGGAATGAAGGAAGTGAACAAACGAACCAAGGCGCTTTGCCCCAGACACGTGGGCCTTGTCCCAGGCAGAGCCACTGCCTTTGAGGAGCCAGCAAGGCCGCCTGCCAGCAGCCAAGAGCTGAGTCTCCTGGCGGACTCGCCCTCCCCAGGCCTCCCTGCTCATCGCCAGGGCGACGTGGTGCCGGGGTGCTGGAGGGCCCAGGGGAGCGATAAGGCCAGTGCTGAGGCCCGCCTGCCCGCCCTCACTCGGCCGGCCGGCAGCAGCGGCCAGATAACCCTGAGGCTTCTCGCCCTGCACTGTTGCCCTGGGTTCTCTGCTCCCACGGACGCCTGGGGTGCCCTGGGCCAGGGGTCCCCAGTGGGACTCAGGCCCCGCTCTGCTGCCACAGGGCTTTCTCAGCCTTCCCTGTGGCTCCCTGTCCCACCCGGCCGCGGCCAGGACACCCGGGGCTGACGCCCCCCGCTGCCGTCCTGCCCTGCACCCCTCCAAGCTATGAGCTGTGCTCCGGGGCTGGGCCCCCTGCTGTGGTGCCCACAACAACTCCTGCCCGGATCCTGCCCTGCGTGCCAGGACCAGCCCAGGGGCTGCCTCCTGCTCCCCGGACAATGGGTTCTGTGGGGTCCCCGCCAGGGAGCCCCCCCAACCTTGCATCACCCCATCCCCAGCCCAGGGGGCTCAAAGGAGTTCATCACCAAAGGGGCAGCTGTATGTCTAGCAGGGAAGCGGATGGGGGCCTAGCCCTGGGCCTTGGGCCAGGAGGGCTGACCCCACAGAGGACAGAGCTGGGACCTGGGAGACATGAGGGGAAGTCCGCATGCCCAGGTCCCCCGTCGGGTGCCCAGGTTCTTTCCAGGCAGAAGCTGCTTGGGCACGAGGGCACCAAGAGTTCCCAACATCTCCCTAAGCCCAGAGCCCAGAAGCCACGGAGACCTGCTGCTCTGGTCTGCCCTTTCCACCTCCTCCAAAGGAATGCACCCTCCCCCAGCAACGCATCCCCGGTTAAGAACCAGGGGACTCCTAATGTCCCAAGTTTTAAGCTAGAGATGCTGCCCCCAAGTGTCAAGGTTCAGAAAGGCTGTTTAACTGGGCCAGGACACACAGCAGGAGGGGAGAAGCCCTCGCTACCACCCAGAATCTAGGATCAGCACCGGGCCGTACACCCCTCCATCCCCCCCTCCTCCCCACCAGGGCTGTGTGCCCACCCACCCCACGCTTCCCAGCAACGGGGGTCACATCCTTGCCAGGGCAGGTAGGGAGCTTGGAGATGCTCCAAAGCCCCTTTGTAAGCAGTTGGGGACACTGAAGCCCAAGGCAGGGGTTTCTCCAAGGTCACCCTCAGAGTGGGTGGCAGGTGCAGACCAGAACCAGGCCCCCTGGCAGAGCTTCCCGCTGCCCAGGCCCCTTCCACAGCCCCCCTCTGACGGCCCATCACCCTGGACTCTGCCACCACCACCCAAAGCCCCTTCGGCCCCCAGGCATGCCCCCCCTCGGGGACACAGGGGGCAGGGTGGGCAGTGGGTGCCCCCAGCCAGGCGGTCACTGTTCATCGGGCAGATCGTTAGCCCTCTGCTCCTGGCAGAACATCGTGGCCCTCCAGCCCATGCCGGCGCGGGTTGAATTTCACGGCCCAGCAGAATTCCCGGGCAGGACAGCCTGGCCATCCCTGATCCCACGGCTCCTCGGGGCACGGACCCAGCTTCTCAGCCAGGGTCCCTCCGTCCTGAAGGGTCAACCAGTCTCCATCTTCAAAGCCTTCCTGCGGAAACCAGGTCTACTGGCTGAGGCTGGAGGGCCCACCCACGGGATGACGCAGCCACCCCCGTCAGGAGCCCCAGGATTAGGTACCTGCTAGTCGCCAGAGAGAGCCAATGGGGCGACTGCGACAAGTCCAGGCCTGGGCTTCTTTGGGGAGGGGACGGTCCCAGTGACAGCCGAGGAGGAGGCAGGTGGCCAGTACGGGACGGGGGCAAACAGGAGGCACAGCCTGGGTCCTGCCCTCCACACCTCGGGACCTGAGGCCCAGCCCCACAGGGGAGTGGTCGAGGCCCCACCTGCTGACGGGGCAGAGAACCTCCACCCAGCGCCCACGGGCGGTTCCCTCGGCCTCCAGGCCTTTGCACCCGCCGCCCCCCTGCACTTGCCCAGCTCGGCTGTCTCCCTCTGGGACACCTTCCCGGAGGCTCTACATCAAGATGGGAGGCCGCTCCTCAGGGTCTGGGCAGTGAGCCGAGGGCAGGGCCCGGCTCTCAGGCGTCGCCTGACCCCGTAGCCCAGCTCCGTCCACGCAGGGAGGTGGGGAGCTGAGCACCTCCGGATCCGGAGGACCTGCAGCTCCGGGTCCGCCTGCCCGTCCAGGCCCAGCCCCCAAAGCACGCTACAGACAAAGCAGAGATTCTGCTGTCCAGAGAACAATATATGTAAAGTGCCGGGTACAACGCTCTGAAAAATAGTATTCTCCAAAAATCCAGCACACGGGGTGCCCCCGCGGTCTAGCCCTTGCCCGTGAGGTCCAGTGGCTGTAGGAAGGGCGGCAGCGGCAGCTCGTCCAGGGCCTCGGGGAAGCGGCCGGGCGAGATGGCGGTGACCAGCACCTGCATGGCGCGCGCGAAGAGCGAGGGTGGCGCCAGGCCCGCCAGCCACTGGAACTTGTCCTCGCCCAGCAGCCGCTGCCAGCGCGGCCGGTCGCCCAGCAGCTCGCGGCGGGCCGGGCCGGCTGCGTCCGCCGGCGTGTACAGCGCCAGTAAGTCAAGCAGCAGCAGGCGGCGCTGGCGCGGCTCCCCGGGCGCTGGCGCCCCGACAGCGGGGGCGGCCCCGGCATCACGGCCCAGCTGACGCAGCAGCAGCTCGAGCGGCGTGAGGCCGCCGCCGTCGCGCAGGCCGGGCGAGGCGCCGTGCCCGAGCAGCAGGAAGAGGCACTCGGGGCGCGCCAGCTCGCAGGCCACGTGCAGCGACGTGCCGCCGCCCTCCACGCGGCTACAGCCTCGCCGGTCGAGCAGGCGCGCGCGCTCCTCGGCCGGGAAGTCGCGCACGGTGCGCAGAATGCGGCGCAGGATGCCCACACGGTTGTAGCGCACGGCCAGCGCCACGTGCGGCCCGGGCGCCGCGCAGCAGCGGAAGCCGGCGCTGGGCGGCGCGAGCGCGCACCGCGGGAACGTGGCCAGCAGGTAGTGCGCATACGCCTGGTGGTCGTGCACGAGGGCGTAGAGCAGCGCCTCCGACGGCGAGTAGGCGGCGGCGCGCCCGCGCTCGTCCCAGTGGAAGGCCTCGCTAGCGCGCATGTCCTCCAGCAGCCACACGGGCAGCAGGTCGCGAACGGCCTGGTAGAAAGCGAACGACGACTTGCGACACTGCTTCTGCGCCCGCGAGCGCGCTGCGCCCGCGCCCTCGGGCCCGCCGTTCGCGCCGCCCCCAGGCCGCCGCGTGTCCCACGGCATGCTGGCGGCGCCTCCCGGTCTCACGGCATGGGCCTGGGGCCGACCACCTGCGGGCAGAGGGAAGCGCGGTGAGGGTTGAGGGTTGAAGTTCCGGGCGGAGAGGGGTCTCCCGTCCAATCTTCACACAGCCCCACCTGTCCGGCCCTCTCTCGTACCTGCCCCCAGCCTCCGACCGGCCCTCCCAGTCACTCCTCACAGCTTCCCTTCTCTCCCAGGCCCTGAACCACCTCCCACATCCTTGATCTAGCTGCGCCTGGTCGCCCTCCCCAAAACTGTCTTGTTCTCCGGTACCTCTGCTAAAGATGCCCTTCCCTGTCCCTGCCCTCACAGCCCCAGCTACCGTCAAGGCCACACAGAAACCCCACACCCCGTCCAGCCCAGGGACCCACTGGAAGAGTTCCTGCTCCCACCTGTGAGAGCTGCATCCAACTCCAATCAAGGGGAAAGCCAGGTAGGGGACTAGGAAAGCTGCATCCCACATCTCAAGCTGAGGCAAATCTTTTCTGTAGCCCAAGCTCCCTATCCCCAGCCCCATCTAACCTTGACTCTGTCATCTGACCCCCGACTGCGGTCGAGGGCCCTACCCCAGGCCAGGCAGGGTCAGAGCTCTAGACTCAGACCTACCTGGCTAGCGCACCGCGATTACCTAGTTCTGTGTAGGTGGGTGTATTACTGTTGCCTGAGCCTCAGCTTCCTCATCTGTAAGAAAGAGGGAAGGCAGTCTGTGAGCCATAGCAGGAAGTGGGGGCCTCTAGCCTTCCACCCAAACATGGTGTTTACTGGATGTCACCGCCCCTAGCTCCTGGGAGGAGGCAAGAGGATGAAATCAACCTAGAAACTGGCGTGTACACTCTTCACAGTCTGTAAATCCCCTCCAGGTCTGCTAGTTCCCTGAGTCTTCCCAATGACTAGAAGAAGCAGGTACTGTCATCCCATTTTCCAGTAAGGGACAAACTTGTCCAAGGTCAGTCGGCAAGTCATGGTAGAGACAGGCCTGGAATCCAGATCTCCTAACTCCTATATCGGGCTCATTCCAGAAGTGGGGGGACCCCCAACCCACAGGGAACCCAGATTGAGCCCTAACCTTGCCCTCTGAGCCCCCTGCGCCAACCTGAGCCCTGACCTCCAACCCCTGGCCCTGGCCCAAGCTCCCCACTGCGTTTTCTCAAGGGTAAGCCCTTGGTCACAAGGGACCTGGGTCAGCGGATAAGCTGCGTCCACACACACTGGGTAACTAAGTTACAGAGACGGGCACAGGGGTTGGGGGCTGGAGCCACAGCACCCTTTTGGGGACACCGTAACTGGAGCACCACGCCTGGGTCTCCGCGCCCCGGGTGCACCCTGTGTGGACACTGGGAGCGGGGCAGGTTACGTAAAGTTGAGCCGCCCCACGTCGCCGGGCAGCGAGTCACGGTCGCGGCTCAGTGAATGGGGGGTTGGGCCACCGAGGGCAAGGCCGCGCGCCCAGGGCCGCCCGCCAGTTTCTCCCCGTCCCCTACTGGCGGCACGGCCGGACCCCGGGTGGCCGCGGGTCGCGGGTCGAGGCCAGAGTGTCTGCGGGCCGGTGGCCGGCGCAGCGAGGGCTGCACCTGCGTGCGCGTGTGTCTGGGGCGGATGAGGGGGGCGGCGGCTACACGCCGAGCCGGCCGAGGAAGGGGGACTCACCGTGGGGGTCGGAGGGGCCGCTGGCCTGGCGTCCCCGCCCCCGCTGCGGGCCGGAAAGCTTGCTGGCCCCCCGCGGGTCGGCGCGCAGGCGAAGCTCCCAGGACAGACGGACGGGAGGGTGCCGCCGGCGCCCGCGCCCGCCGCAGCCGCGCTCTGAGCCGCCGCGGCCAGACCGCTGGGCGGCGGTGCCGGCGCCGGCGGCGGGCGGGCG